ATTCTTCGGTGCTGACCAATTCTGGACTGCGGCAATTTTGGAAGGATCAACTTCAATACCTGCTTGAGTAATAATGTGGCCAAGAAAGGCCACTCGCTGAAGCCAAAATTCGCACTTGGAGAATTTTGCATATAACTTCTCACGTCTAAGGGTCGAAAGAACGGCCCTCAGATGCTCCTCGTGCTCCTTCTGGCTCTTGGAATAGATAAGAATATCTTCAATTAATACAATAACGAACTGGTCCAGAAAAGGATGAAATACACGGTTCATCAAGTCCATGAATACTGTCGGGGCATTACTGAGGCCAAACGGCATAACCAAAAACTCGAAGTGACCGTATCTCGTACGAAACGCTGTCTTAGGTATATCTGACTCCTTGATTTTCAGCTGATGGTAGCCTGAATGCAAATCGATCTTGGAAAACACGCAGGCACCCCTCAACTGATCAAATAAATGATCGATCCTGGGGAGCGGATATTTATTCTTGATCGTCAACCGGTTAAGATCCCGGTAGTCGATACACATACGCATGGATCCGTCCTTCTTCTTGACAAAGAGAACAGGTGCTCCCCAAGGGAAAACGCTCGGTCGAATAAAACCGAGATTCAGCAACTCTTGAATTTGGGTCTTTAATTCCTACAATTCTTTAGGTGCCATTCGGTACGACGCCTTAGAAACGGGTCCGGCTCCAGGGATAAGATCAATAGAAAATTCCACCTGTCAGCTAGGTGGACCACCTGGAAGTTGATCTGGGAGCACGTCCACGAACTCACGAACAATAGAAATGTCATGAGGTGAACGTGCCTTTGGCTCATCTCCAACGAGGCTCACAAGGTAACCCTGGCAATCACCCCGTCGAAGAATCTTTCTGGCTTTCGCCACAGAAATAACATGGGGCAGAGTACGGGACCTGGAGCCGTAATAAGTGATCTGATCCTCTCCTGGAAGATAAAGAGTAATCTCCCGGTCATGACATCGGATATCTGCGTGAAAACGTGTTAGCCAATCCATACCGAGTATGAGGTCAAAGTCCCTCATCTCGATAACATAGGCATCAGTAGTCAGAATACGGCCGTCGATGGAAAGGCTGAGATCAGTGGCTTTAGCGTCGGTTACTATGTTTCGTCCCGAGGCTAGACTCACCTCGAGAGGATCGACAGCGGTAGTAGAACGAACACCAATAGCTTCAAGACATCGGCGTGATATAAAAGAATGGGTCGCTCCAGTGTCAAATAAAGCATAGACAGGTACATCATTAAGAATAATCATCCCAGACATGGTACCTGGGTGCTGGTCGGCCTCTGTCTGGTCAACTGCAAAGACGCGGGCCTGCTGTCTGCCGTGTGGCTGCTGCTGAGGTCGTGGTGGCTACTGCCTGGGCTGCTGCTGTTGAGGTTGCTGCGGTGGTTGACGTTGTTGCGGTTGTTGTTGCAGTCGTTCAGGGTAGTTGGGGCTGATATGGCCTGGTTGGCGACAAAAGAAACAAATGTTCTGGCCCACGAGGTATTTCCCACGGTGGCGCTTTCCACATGTCGGGCTGGCTGGTGTTTGTCTGGGACGGGTCCTCCGGTCGTCAAAAGTGGTTCTGAACTTTCTCTTCTTCTGGTTCTTTGATGGTTGGGCAACGATGGGCTGGACTGGTGGTTGAGCAACTAGCTGGGCTGGTGACTGGATAGCTTCTCGTCGGATACTGGCATCGACTTCTTGAGCAATGGCAACTGTGCGGGCATAGGTCTGGACACCGTGATCTACTATGTTGTGGCGGACTGCTGGGAGGAGTCTGTAAGTAAAACGATGGGCTCTCTTCGTCTCTGTACTCACAAGGTCGAGTACAAAGACTCCGAGACGGGTAAACTCTCTCTCGTACTCGTCAACAGAACGAGTACCATGTCTGAGTGCCAGGAACTAGCGCTCCATTTCTGCTCGGTAATACGAGGGATAATATTTTCCTCAGATCAGCTCCTTGAATTGGTCCCACGTACAACCTTCTTTCTCGTCGGGACACATACTTCAATAGGCATTCCACCAGAGTCGGGCATCACCGGTCAGCTAGATTTGTGCGCATAACACACCATATCGATCAGGACAATCCATGACCTAAAAAATCATTTCGAGGCCCTGAATCCATTCATCTACTATATGAGGATCTCCTTGGCCGGAAAATTTTTCTGGCTGGTAGTCGCGGAAACGTGTGACTACTGTGGCCTGTGGGAGTTCCTGGTGTCCTGGATCTCTACGAGGAGGCATCTGAACATTGAAATGTTTAACATGATTAAATAACATAAAAGATTAACTGACTGACTGCTTAAGTACACAAATTTCTTGACGAGTCGCTAAATAACCCGAGAAAACTAAGGTCAAATATTTGAGACAATCGACTACATTTTGAGAGTATTCGAGCATCTTACTGGTTTCTAGGGTCAAATATCTGGTACCCTCTTACTGAGCATAGACTTAAGCATTCGTTTAAATTTATATAAACTGTAACTCAGCACTTACCTGTAGTCAGCGAGGCGTGAGCGTAGCGTGGTCGGGTCTTTTCTGAAAATTTCTGACTTAAGAAAGTATTCAGATACACGGAAACATGCTCTGATACCAATTTGTAACACCCCGCTAGCTTACTAAAATCAGAGTGCGATTTTCGCAAATTCTTTTCTAAAATTTATGTTTTAGTTGCGAAATCATGACCAGAATGCTACAGAAAAACATTTCCTTCCTAAAAATTCCGTTAACTCTATTAATTAAATACTATTTATGAAAACGGAATATCTTTTATCAAACGAGCGTGTAATGCTGTATAAAATCTGTCTGAAGAACTCAGATCAAAGTTTGTAAAACGACACGCTAGTTTGAAAGTCTGAAACATCAGTGGAAGTAAAAACGTGGCAAATAATATACATATCATAAGTCTGCAAAAGCATATATACATATGTACTGCACCGGCGACCACCAGCTTCGCTCACTCCTCCTGACCGACCCTGTCTCCTGAAAAGATAATAATAGTGGGAGCGTGAGTACTAAAGTCACTGTACTCCGCAGAGACTCATACTAAAGTAAACATTAATAATAATATCAATATCATGACTATAGGTATATATAAGTAAATTGTAATCTCCAGACACAAGGTCTGTAACTGAACTGAACTGTCTCGGACACTATGTCCGCCATGTGCACACTCTGATGGGCATTTAAGGCCTTGCGCCTCCACCAGAACTTTGGATGGGCAATTAAGGCCTTGCGCCTCCACCCGTGGATATCTCATATACATACCTTAAAACATGATAGAGCAATTATAACCAATGTAATACCCAGTCTGAGTTCCCACCTGAACTGATAATGTAAGTGCTGCTGCTGATCAATCTGTAAAAATATATATAAATAAACAAATACTGAGTACTATGCTCAGACTGACTGAAAATAGCTGTTAAGACGCTCGACTCGATCTAAATATTTAACTGGAATAATCTCGGGAGTTAACTTGACTGACAAGAAAAATGGACTGAAAAATTAACTGAAATACTGTACTGAACTCGGACTGGATCAATAAATACTGAACTGTTCAAAATTCCGGTCTGAACCGGCCGGTTCTTTTTCTGGCTGGACAGCCGGCTCGCTGCGGCCGGGCGGTCGGCTGCTGGCTGACCACCGACTCGGTCGCTCGCACATGCTGGGCGCGGT